GTCAAATGAAGTATTTTAAGAATCTTACCCAGTAAATTTTTCTCACTCCATTGGCAGAAATTTTTTACTTAATTTGAGTCAAATTTTCAGACTAACAAGACAAATAATCTTACACATTCTGAAAACAAGATGATTATTCTTACACAACCAGTTCTTGTTTAGTAAATCAGTCTCAAAACAAGATCAAAAAGACTTTTGGCTGATATAAGGTTTTAAAACTTGGTTAGGTGGACAGTTTTTGCAGTGTTTTTTAGTTAAATAGAAACAGAAAGCAGCTTTGTGTGTTTTTAATATAAGCTGAAGGTAAATATTAGCTTTTTTTATCATTACCTGATGTTATTTTTAAAGAAGTAGTAAAGTCGTCATCCTTTGTTTATTAAACTAATGAAGGTTTAAATAAGGAATGACTTTATTTCCAAGTGTTTATTTGGAGGCAGAGCGTTCGTATGGTCCTCTGCCTGCAGATGTTTCAGGGACCACAGAAACTGCCCCCAACCTTTGACCTGAACTTCTCTCTTTTTTTTTGTTTTGTTGGGTCAACAGAGCAGTCTAGAGTCTAGAGCTGTGGGGGGATACGGGCACAAAGGGTCCCCTAAAAGTCCTCCGACCTTTGTGACCTGACCTTGACACCCTTATCTCCATAACACTGGCCCCCGTCTGTGCTGGCGCAGAGTCCTTATTAAATATATGTGTCTATAAGGTAATCTCCCCCCACAGCTGCCACTGACTGTGTCCGGCCCTCCCAGTCGGGTTTTCATGCTCTGTTTGCATTCATTAGTGGCAAAGACCAGCAGAGACACCTTTGGGTTTGGTCCTCAGCGGGGACACAAAGGGTCCCGTGGCGGGACTGAAAACAAGCAAACATCTCAATCTGTGTTCAGGTGCTAAATGTTCACAAGGTTTATTCGTGCAGGACTCCCACTGCTTCCTGTACACAGTCTGCACCATCAAGCATCACCTTTTCACTGTTCATACTGCAGTGGGATTTTAGTTTTAGATACATTATTAATACTTGACAAGTTGTTTAAATAATCAGTTAGCTTTGACCTCACAAGTCTTTTTAGTTTACAAAACAAATTATACACAATTCAGTCCAAAATATCCAGTTCTATACACTGCAAAAACTGTCCACCTAACCAACTTTAAAATCTTATATCAGCCAAAAAGTCTTTTTGATCTTGTTTTGAGACTGATTTACTAAACAAGAACTGATTGTGTAAGAATAATCATCTTGTTTTCAGAYTGTGTAAGATTATTTGTCTTGTTAGTCTGAAAATCTGACTCAAATTAAGTCAAACATTTCTGCCAGTGGAGTAAGAAAATTTTACTTGGTAAGATTCTTGAAATACTTGATTTGACTCATTTTTTTCTTATTTCTAGAATCTTACCAAGTAAAAATTTCTTACTCCATTGGCAGAAATTTTTGACTTAATTTGAGTCAAATTTTCAGACTAACAAGACAAATAATCTTACACATTCTGAAAACAAGATTATTATTCTTACACAATCAGTTCTTGTTTAGTAAATCAGTCTCAAAACAAGATCAAAAAGACTTTTTGGCTGATATAAGAGTTTAAAACTTGGTTAGATGGACAGTGTTTGCAGTGTACAATCAGATTCACCAGATCACAAAAAGTTAATTAGACAAAAAATTGTTTAATTGAGGAAACAAGTTGTTGAATCTTCCCCTTGACACTCGTTCAAGCACACAGTGTGGATGAGGTGGAGCAACAATGGAGAAAAGATGAGCATCGAGCAGCTGGAGGAGAGAGGACAGGAGAAGAGTTTGACCAGGTGGTGTTTTTAGGACATGTGGTCAGTTTGTTTCCAGCTGTCTGAGTTTATAATGATAGATTAAGCCAACACTAACTATATTTATCAAAAAGGAAAGTTTAAGAAACTGGAAGTTGGTTCCACAAGAGAGGAGCTTGATAACTGAAAGCTCTGCCTCCCATTCTACTTTTAGAAACTCCAGGAACCACAAGTAAACCTGCAGTCTGAGAGTGAAGTGCTCTGTTAGGAAAGTATGGAACAGTAAGATGTTTCATATATGATGGAGCTTGGTTGTTGAGAGCTTTGTGTGTTAGAAAAATGATTTTATATTCTGTGAATTTGAAATGAAAAACTTAGAGGAAAGCACCATCAGCATCATGTTTTTCTCTGTTCAACTTGCTTCATATAAACAGAAATGTAGTTTTCTGTGTTTTATTTAAAAAAAAAAGAACCCATTTGGTCCAAAAGTCTTGAACTGGACCAGTCTGATGACTAATGAAGCTTTAGGAAGACATTGTGATGATTTTCTGTCTGCTGCTTATTTGTTTGGTCTGACAGATGGTTTCAAATGAACTCTTTATTTCTCAGGTATTAATAAGTTTGTTATTTTGGTCATTCATGACAAAACAGAAAATAAGCAGTCGAAACGGTCGATAATCAGAGGAGCAGACTATAAATATGACTCCTGTATTTATTTATTTATTTATTTTTGAGTCCACACATGCAAAAACATATTATAGTGAAATAAGTTCAGACGAGGAGTGGGTCCTGGTCCTGGCATGTTTTACTTCTCTGCTCCCTGATTCAGTGTTTGATTCACCTCTTCAAGTTCTTCAGAAGCTCAGTCTATTCTTTCAAACCAGGTGTGTTTCAGTTCCTGGGTAACTACATTTCATCTTATAAATTTAGTCTTTGAATATAAAGTTTTACTGATTTGACGATCCTTTTTTTTTGATAATACATCTAATTTTTCTGGTACTGTTGGACAGCAGCTGTTCAGAGTCACATGTTCAGCATTAAAATAAACTTTGATTTGTTTTCTTCATTTTAAAACAAGTTTGTGTTTCTTTTTAACTGTAGAACTGTATATGATTTTAAAGGTGGTTCAGATTTGTTGGCTGTGGGTAATAAATATCTTACCTGCAGCAGACAGCTCTTTGAACAACCCCAGTGTAGAGAACCTGTTAGAGTGAAACCAAAGCTTCTGTCCTAAAACAACTCAATCACAAAAACTTTCATAGATGATGCCAAACGTATTACATGACCATTCATACAGAACGCTGGTGACACATAGTGACAGCAGCAGCTAGCTGTAGCTGTTCATGTGCAGCCTGTGCTCCTTTAGTTAGGGTTAACTAACTATGTAAATCCAAACAAGTGGAGAAACATAAAATAACATTTGTATGAAATCCAAAAGTTTAGAGCCGAGGTGCCCAAAGTGGGGCCCGCAGGCCAAACTTGGCCCGCCAAGCCATTTGATTTGGCCCACCATCAGTCATCCTGGTTACCAGATTACGGTCTCCTGTCTTATGTAGAAATACTATATTTACACTTAGTCTTTTTAAACATTGATCCAACTATAGAAACTAGGAGCTGTAGTCAGATAGTCTGAACTCATGGAGCTCACTTTATCTTTGGATTATCTTAAGATTAAACTTAAAATTCAAGTAACTTCAAGAGACATTTATATTAGATTTAAGTCCATATCTAGATTTGCACACCTTATAAGACCACATATCCTCTAATTTTAAATTAGGAAAAGTTTAATGAGCCTTTGCGGCCCCATAGCATACGTAGAGTTTTCTGCATGTCCTTTTGCTGAAAAAACAAACAAACAAGAAAATGTGGGCAACCACACTGGCTGCTAGCTTAATCATAAAAAATACAACTTTACTTGAAGTATTTGCATTTCGTGTTTTATATTATTGCATTTGGCCCACCGCCCTCAGACTGATTTTCAATTTTGGCCCTTTCAGGGAAAATGTTTGGGCACCCCTGGTTTAGAGGCTAAAGCAGTTTGGTCCACTTTAATCTGTTCAGACTAGCCGTTAGCTCGTCATTCAGTCAAAATTAAACTCTGTTTCTTCGAAGTGAGGTTGTTCAAACAGCTATCTAAAACAGGTAAGATATTCACTGTTCAGATCAATTCCACAAAATCCTACTGCAAAAAAAGGACATGATTATTATTATTATTATTATTATTATTATTATTATTATTATTAGTAGTAGTAG